AGATTATGTTTATTTTCCATAAGTTGCACACAAAAGATGAGTATAGGCAATGTGACATCATGTATTACTGTGTTTAAGCCTTAACACTGGCATTTCGGCTGTTGCCATCTTGTTATTTTGGAGCCAGAACCAACCTTATTTTGAAAAGACAGATGAGTGATAAACTACCAACTGCTCCACAGAATGTAAAGTGTAACACAAAGACACAGATACCCATTACAAACTTTAAAACATAATACCAGAACGCTGATAAAAATTGAGCATAGATTTCGAGGTCCAGTTCACTGACAGAAATCATTGAGTTGACACAGTTTAGCTTGTCCTGGCACCCACGTGTCACTCAAAGAGGACAACACTCCAAAACTGCATAATTTTAAGTTTTAATAGATCAGCTGAGTCACTTATGTAAACCCTGAATAAAAACGTGTTTATTCCACTTTAAATTTGGGCGTTTTGTCATGCGACCTCTCATGGACTACCTACGTGTCCAGGCTGTACCCCTGTCATTTACTCAATGGCGGCTACGGCAGGGCCCAGCCCTCCTGAATCCCTGAATTGGATAGGCGGTTGAGGAGAGGACTAATGTTAACATGGGAGTCTAGAGGGATTGACTCACCTTTGAAACCAGCCTGAAGTGGCCATTTAAGGGCCTGCATTTTTTGACATTTTCACACAGACTCTACTTTTCCAGCCCCACAGGTTGATGGTACCAACCTTTTTTGGTTAATAGCGGTATCTGCAGTGATATAAAGTTTAAGAATAGTATTAGTGGTGTTTTGCAATTAGGTTCAATTTTCTGCATTTTTTCTCAGCTTGCTTGAGCATCGTCTGTTTGTATTTGTTACTCTGGTGTGTTGAGCTCTCAAACCACTGCACAACAGCAATCTTTGAGACAGATACCTCAAAAACTGTGCTGTACCTGAGAGAAGTTACAAAATATATGTGACAGATTAAAATAGCCATATGAGCTGCTGTGTCTCTGCTAACCCACATAAAGGAGTAATGTGACCTCATTCTCTTGAGATAAAGACACAGAGAGGACAACAGGAAACGATGAGTAACAGTGTTTTTATCTACACCGGTTGCTTTCCATCTGTTCCACGACCGGCTGGCACCTCCAGGAGGTTTGACACACACACACACACACACACACACACACAAAGACAATTTTAAGTCAGCGGTGGATGCAGCGCTCGGCAGTATGTGCAGGCTTTGAGCAGTGTGTTTTTCTCTTCTATCCTAAACGTACATTTCAGTGTGTGAGTTTACTTATGTAAATGTATGTGACAGTTTTAAACTGTGTGTTTGCCCGAACACAGGCAGCAATATTTAAGAGAAAACAGATGACTGCACAGAATCTGCAAGCTCGCCTTTATTTAGATAAAAGCCCTAACTCAGCAGCCTGTCATCCTGCAACAGTGTGATTTTTTTTTTTTTAAAAACCTCCATTTATCTCTATACTACTTTAATCTCAGAGTAAGCTGGAGCCTTGAAGATAAACCACTTAGCTTTCACTTTAAATTCGCATTTCCACTTTGGTCCATTCCTTTATTTTACACAGTATATTGAGTGTTTGTGCATGTGAGTCAGTAGCAGGGAGTGTTTCAGGAACGTGACTGTTGATGCAATCAGACTCAGTGTGTCAGTAGTGTATACTGTACATGATCTATATAGATGCTTTTGTCTGACTGCTGATGAGCTTCAAATTCAATGCGGCTTTTGCTGAAATGAGAAGTCTCTACACGTCTTACATGTGCATGCACTCAGGGGTAGCAAACAAATATGAATTACTGAGAGCCTGTGAGGAGATGAATGTGTGAAATTGTTTTGCGCTCTGAATCACTTTCGCAATTTTGTTTAAATGGTCTAAAACATTCACTATTCTAAGAAGGAGCCCTCACACTTAGCTCACACTGCAATATGAGATGTTAGTGAGTCGGTCAGCATCATATGGATTCTATGAAGAGCCTTAGTGGTTTTGTAAGACAGACCATAAAGAGCCCAATCACAGTTGTTCTTTGCTAGGTGCAGCTTAAAGTTTCCAGGAGTAGTTTGGATGAGTGGCACT